TAATTTGAGTTTATATATTTATTTATTTATTAATTTTTGCAATTTTTTAAAAAATATCGAGCTATTCAATTAAAGGCTATATCTCTATTTATACTATATGAGGTCATTGAAGTGAAACGTAGCTCGTGATTTGAAGTCTAAAAAGTAATCGCGTTTTTTTAAAAAAAAAATTATTATTTTATATTTCCATAAATAAACCTTTTTTTTTTTTTTTAATTCATACCAAAAACTTACTCCAAGAGAATATGGTTCAAAGGAAAAGGTAAGGAATTTGATGAAGCATATGTATTCCTATAATTCATTTATATTATATTTTAAAAAATATTTTAAAAATGTCAAAAAGGGTTAATATTTGATAATTTGATTTATTTATAGCTTTTTTTTATTCTTTATAAATTATATAATTTAATTAATTTTTTATCCACTTTGGGCTTATTGGGCCTGGGCTTGCGATACTAAGCCCAAATTTCAATCCATTTGGGGAAACTGCAGTAGTAGATGGCTAAATTTGTGCCGCCTATTTTGAAACAAATGGGAGCGATTTTTTAGATTTTAAATTATAGTTTAATTTTTTAAAAATAATTAATATAAATACTGCAATCATTGAAACTTCAAAATAAAACATTTTTGTTTATGTTCGATAACCTTAAAGGTTATTTAATGATTCGTGTTGATTTATGAGAATGATCTTCGCCCGTTGAAGTAGTTAGAGTCAAACATGTATCAGGGTCGTATTTGTAAAAGAATGTTGGAATTATCGAATGACGAATTTGATTTTACAGTTTATTATTGTTTATAATTGTTATGTATTATTATGTATGTAGCGTTTATTTAGTGTTATTCATACTCACGATTCAAATTAATATTTGAAATCCAAATACGATACCTGGTAACTTCGATATTTTCGTAGGACATGACCACGTTACCTATTTGTCTTAAATTACTCCTAAAAGTAAAAATTACCAACTCAGTCATTCCAACCTCGTTGTTCTAAAAAAATTCAAATGAGGTAACCTAAAATAGAATTGCTCCAATTTAAACACGTTTAACTTTGGAGATTCTATGGTGCCACGGAAAAATATGTAACTATTAATTATTTTAAGCATTTATCAATCATTCTACCTTCAAAATCAGTCTCGTTTAGATATAGATATAGATATATACACCCAATAAACACGATAAGCAAAGACTAATTAGTGGGAAATTTGGAATTTAAAAAAAAAAAAAAGAACCGAGTGAGAAAATCAATAGAAAATAACTTCTCTAGTCTTATTATTGATCGATGTGTAGTTATGTAAGAGAATATCAGAGCCAAAGCGCACCAGCTTCCTTTAACAATTTGTCGAGACAACCATTAAGGTGAAGAGTGATGATGGCATTGGCGGTGCCGATGAATCGGCCACCGATGAAGACGGCAGGGACGGTGGGGTTGCAGCCGAGGCACCAAAGGGCCCATTCGATCTCTTTTCCTCTCGAGTCCTGGTCGAGCTCGTACACAGCCGGGCTGATGCCTTGATCGTAAAAGAGTCTCTTAATTGCATGGCTCATGCAACACGAGCTCTTGCTGAATATCACCACCGCCTTCTGTGACGCAACCTTCGCTATCCGCTCCATTTTTTCAAAAATATTCTTGTGCTTTGATCACCAGATAGTCACCGTCGGGTAATCCAAATATTTTCTCTCCTTCTAGCAAAGTTTCAAAGAGAGAATTTTTAGTTGAAGAAGACGACATGCTTCAGATATATATATACACACACTACAGATTCTGGACTATATATATATATATATATATATATATATTTATTTATATATTATTCTCCTTCAATTTTTTCAACAAGTAATAATTATTTAAACGTTCTTAATTAAAATTATTTAAACACAAAATTAAAATAAAAAAAAAACATAAAATTACAAATTTTAAAAATTAAATATTTATAAAGTTTTAAAATTCTAGTTTGCATATAATTTTCTTAAACTAAGATAATATTTTATTTTTATCGCTTCTTCTAAAATGAATAGAAAAAAAAAATGAAAGCAAAGATTACGATGACAATGACGACAAAGACAACAAACACAAACACGAACACGATAATCTTCGAGAATGTCAGGAGAGTGGGATAGGAATAATATTCTTCCATTAGAAAGACTTCTTGTTCTCGTAAGAGATCATAAAATTTTATTCCCTATATATATTATTGATAGAGAGAGAACGAACAAGAAAAGTCGAAGATGATGAGCAATAAAAAAAATGATTTTATTAAAAACGTACGCAAAAAATAACACCCCATGCAAGATTTATGGCCCCGACATTTTTTTCTGACATGCTCGTGTTATTTACTTCTAACTTTTAAAAGTGAAAACTATTCTAAATTTTTTTAGTCATCTTATCATCATGATGACTCTTATTCAGATGTGTTATCGGTTCATGTATGTATCTCTTATTTACTCAGGTGTCATAGATATATCGACTTAGAACCATGCGTGAAGAGCTTGGATTAAAAGACCGAGATAGCAAGGACGAGTTTAACATTTTTAGTTTTAAATTGATTTGTCACGATTTTTTTTATTATTATTAAATATTGATAAAAGAAAATAGCATTTTTATTTAATATAATTTATAAAATCTCTTTTATAGACCGTGTCACGTATTTGTCGAACAAATGTTAAATGACAGTGAGATCAATGTAAAAGTAATGGATAAGATAGGGTTAATAAATTTATTAATATAAAATAAGGTGAAAATGATATTTCTATTAAAAGGGGAATAATTGGATAAAAAAAAGATAAATAACGTGGAAAAAAAAAACAGAAGCACGTGAAAATAGCGATGGATCATTGGAGAAAAATAGAAAACAAAGTTTTATTCGAATATATATATATATATAAAGAAAAGTATTTTAATCTTTATTTTTATTTTTTACATCTAAAATAATATTTAAATAGAAATTAAATGACGTCGTTTTCGTAGTTAAGGCTGAAAAAGTTGACATTCTTTTTGGGGCATTTTGATTAGCACCTCACCCAATTATTGTGGCCACTGGCCCTTAGTGTGGCTTGTAGAATTGGATGATTATTTGGATCTTATCCCCCACAGCATAAAATGACAAATGTATCCCTTTGTATATGGTCCTTTAGCTCATAACAAAATGGGCATTTTAGTCTTTTCAAGTTTGAAAAATAGTGGCAAATTTATTAATTGACCTACGAAAAAACGATGTGATAATAATAATAATAGTTATACTCGAGTATTAGCATTTATTTTTGAAATATGTATATATAAACATGTGTGAAGGAAAAGTGGGAGGTTATGGTGAAGCGAAATAACGACGATAGATGCTAGATCTCATATCAGTTGAAGAGTAGAATTAAACATTTCTTATAAGGGTATGGAAACCTCTCTTTACTAAACGCGCTTTAAAACTGTGAGACTAATGACGATACGTAATGGGCTAAAGCAGACAATATTTGTTAGTGGTGGGTTTGAGCTGTTACAAATGGTATCAAGATTATACATCGAGTAGTGTGTCAACAAGAATACTGGCACTCAAATTGGTGGATTGTTAGATCTCAACTCAGTTGAAGAGGGGGAACGAAACATTTATCCTAAATTAACGCGCTTTAAAATCGTGAAGTTGATGGTGATATATAATGAGTTAAAGCAGACAATATTTATTAGTGATAGGATTGTATTATTACAATATAACACACGAGGAAATTTGCATTGAGTAATGAGTGACAGAGGCAGTATCGTAGCTTGGCGCCTAGAGCTTGAAGCATTTGGATATTTTGTAAGAAGAGCCGAGCTTTTATGGTCGAGTAGGTCAACGGCTAGAATGCCACTTGCTATTACCTACCTACATACAAGCATAGTCCTAAGGAACCAAAAGAAGCCCTCACCAATGCCATTAGGTACATGTGAATAAAAATATGGCCTTAGGTTGTAGGACAATGACACTTATGTACGGTTTTTAACCTTTTAATTAATTAATTAATTAATTAAATATTTTTTTCTTCTTTAAAAGCATGCCAAAATAATGATATTATATTTTGGTATTTTCCATTTAAAGAATTAATTTATCATTTTTCTGTAGGGTGGACTTTTGGCTATATAGTCTCTTCTTTTATGTCTTATTCATGCAAAAAGACACATGCCAGCTGTCGCCTAAGCTTAAATTATAAATTTAATTTATTAATTTTAAATTTACTGTGAATGGGCCCAGCCCAAGTATTTGTTGGACCCCAAGAATCCTGGGGGCCCATGGAAGCCCACGGCAGCTCCGAAGTCCATATTTGACACGTGGGAATCCAGATTGGACAGAATCCTGATACGCTTTTTTTCCATTATTTCTTTTCCGTATGCTCCATTTTCCAACATTGTCTGACAAACTGGTCCCCACTTTACTGCTACAAAATAAAAAGTTTAATTTAAAATATCATTTTTATTTGTTTGTCCAAATAATTGCTTTATACTTACTAGAAAAAAAAAAAAAAAAACTTTTTAGTTTAAAAAGTTTCAATAAAAGCGATAAATTATCATTTACACTTTTATTTTTTTTAATAAAATTTATTTAAATAATAAACCCTTTTAACAAAATATTTACCCAAACTAATATTGAAAAATTTGAAGATAATTTATGATATGTCGCGGCTTTCGTTTATATATTGATGGTAATAATTTTTTTAATTATAATTTAAAAATAAGGTTATTTTTAAAAAATGTGAATGAAATTAATAAAACTTTTTTAAACGGCATAAACAATATTTTTTAGATTTTTTTTTTAAACTTTTGGAGGCAAAGTTAAGTTTTAAGGAATATTTTAATTAATTTAACTAAAATACAATTTAATTAAAAAAAAAAAAAAAAAGAAGAGATTGTTAGGAAGACGAGGGACCAAAAATAATATTTAAATTTTCTAAAAAAATTAAATGTGGTGGGCCCCACCTTTGTTTCTATCTGGAGCAGATAACACCCTCCCTCCAAAATCAACGGTCATTTCTTTTTCTACTACCTTCAGCCTCCCTTCGTCTGGTTCTTCACCTGCATCTTCACATGGCGCATCCTACCAATCGCCCTTTCTCCGCCATTACTACAAGACAAAGTCAATGCTAAACTGCGCCGCCTTTAAGGTCGCTTTCTTCCTTTCTTTCTTCTTCCTCACTCGCATCTCGAAAAATCGACGAACGAAGCTAAAAGTAGCTGATTGACCTCGGAGTCAGGCCTTTTTTTTTGCAGGATTCAATGTCGTTTTGATCGATTTCTTTCTACTGTGCATTTTTCCGACTTCTTCTATCACTATCGGCTTCATATTCCGGTTTTGCGGATCGAATACTCTGTTTATGTGGTCCGCAGTGGTTATCTGAATGCATTCCGCAACTAAATCTGGATTCCGAGGGTTTTTGTGTTCGTTCGCTTGATGGTAATGTAGCTTTTTCTCTTGAAGCGCTTAGGGTTTTGGAGTGAGAGGAAGTTACTGGTATTCGTGAAGAAGTTTTAGTCCATGAAAATGTTCGGGTTTCGTAGGCGAATGAAGAATGGAAGGTGAGCGATTGTGCTAGTTTATCTGTATTTATTTTGTGGTGGTGAGGCAATGTATGGAGATTCGTTAGATTTATGTGACGAAATATTCGTTGATTCGTATTGAGATTTTATTTAACCCTATTAGCTTCTCCATCTTGCAAACTGCAAGGAAATGCGATTTAATGGGACTACACTTTGCATGTTTTGATTGAGAAAGGTATTTCGTTACTGTAGATTGAAGGTCCAGCTTTCCGATCCTGCTCAGGGAACTAGGAGTCCTATAAGACACCCCAAACGAGTGAGCAGCTCTAATGTAAGTGTTAAAACATTTACAGTAAGATTTTTTTTTCTTTGGCTGTTTTAGATTCGTGTTTGAAAAGGAATAGAATAGCACGTTTCTTAAGCTCTTTTTGCTTGTAGAGTGAATGTGCTGCTGCACCCGCAAGTAGGCATTCTGAAGAGCATGATGGGCAACGTGCTTCTGATGTTGTTCCTGATATTAGTAATGGTGCCTCGGGACAGTCTGAAAATTGGATGGTATTGTCAATGACAGGGGAAAAACCAGCTCCTCGTTTCAATGTATGTATTTTATTACCATTAATGATAGTTATATCCTGGTTTAGAGATTAGACTTACACGTCTGCTATTCAGTTGTGAAGAAGGTGACTTCTTGATTTATTTATTTTTTTTATTTTTTTTTTGACAGCATGCTGCAACTGTGATTGGAAATAAGATGATTGTTGTTGGTGGTGAATCTGGGAATGGATTATTAGATGATGTACAGGTTGGGAAATTTTCTTTCTGTCTGAAACATTCATTTTCCTTTGCACCAATATATTACAAAATTAATGAACAAAGTTTATTATATTTTGCGAGTAACTCAAGTGATTGCTTTGCCTGTGTGGGTAGTGAGTACATCGTTGTCTCTGCAGGTGCTTGATTTTGATAAATTTACTTGGAGCAGAGCCTCATCAAAGCTCTACCTATCACCAAGCTCACTGCCATTGAAGATTCCTGCATGCAAGGGTCACGGCCTGGTAAGTTGTAACAAGTAACAAATACATAACGAGTATGTGTGTCTGTATGTATTGTTGGAAAGCTATGCGTCCATAGAACTAATTAAGAATAACAGACCAGGCAAGATTGTTCAGTTGAGTCTTGTGATTCATAGGGTGGACTTCTTTAAGTAAAAATATACATCCTAAGGGGATAATATATGGACCAAAAGGATGATACGGATTTATTTTAGCGTTAAATTAATAAAAATATCCTTGAACTTTTCACTTTTTTCTCAAGAATACCTTTGAACTTTCAAAAGTTTCAATAATACCTTTAAACTGAAAAAAAAAAACGAAATTAACCCCATTTATATGTTTATTTTTTAGACAAAGTACAAAGTTCAGGGTTAATGAGATTTATTTTAATTGTATGGTTTTATTAGACCATGACTACCAGTTCCTTATAGGTAAAGAGGCTTATTGATTTGAATACGCTTCTACTTTACCTCCCATTAGATTTTTTTTTTTTTTTTTTTTTTTTTTTTTTTTTTTTTTTTTTTTTTTTTTTTTTTTTTTTTTTTTTTTTT